CAATGTGTCAGCTTCATGGACCGAAACTGGAAGTTGGTTCCACAAGAGAGGAGCCTGATAACTGAAAGATCTTCCTCCCATTCTGCTTTTGGAAACTCCAGGAACCACAAGTAAACCTGCAGTCTGAGAGCAAAGTGGTCTGTTAGGAAAATATGGAAAAGTAAGATCTGTAATATAAGATGGAGCTAGGTGGTTTAGGGCTTTGTAGATTAGAAGTAAGATTTTGAATTCAATTCTGAATTTGACAGGGAGCCATTGAAGAGAAGCTAAAACTGGAGAGAGATGATCTCTCCTATCTGTGAACCCAACATGCCAGGCCATACGATGCAGCCCAGCCTCATGCAATCCCACCATGAGACATCTATCTGGTGTCTGGTGACTTTTAGTCACTGTCTTGATTGACTGACCAATGCTTTGGCAACTACCTGATAACACTATTGTCCCACTTGTGGTTGCACCACTTATGCTGTGCTCCTTCTAGACCCTTTCTAGGTGCCTTCCTTTTTTTTGTTTGTTGTTAGTAAGTGTATTATACATATATTAAATGTACTGTATAAATTATACATACTGTATTTAAAAAATTGCCACAGTTTCAGGTAGCCATGTTCCTATTATTCATGGTTAAAACTTGCTGTTGAGTGTTAATGTGCTGAAATGTATCCTATAGCGATTGAAGCAGCAAACTGTCTTTATATCGCTGTCACTACAGCTGTGCAGAATACCAAATGATTCCTGGGCTTCTCTCATACTCGCACTCACGCAGGATTATATTTGTGGAAGGTTTCTCCCCTCTGTGACAAGCAGTCAGACGGTTTAAGCATTTAAACTAAATGCATATTTTGCTCCTGCTCTCCTTTCCAGCTCAACCTGTTGCAACACTTTTTTTTTTTCCTTCGTATTTTGCTTCTGCTGAGGAGAACACATTTTTCTGCAGAGAAAGCACAACTGTTTACATTTTCTGCTTTAAGTCTACTTTTATTCTAAATTATAAGTTTAACAATTAAAATCGTCAGGTGACACATACTTCCATGTATACTTTTGGAATAGATGCTTAAACTTCTAAGATGTTCTTTAGAGAACATTTAATGCATGCATGGAGGCTCGTTGTTAAACCGCTGTTAATGCAGGTAATAAGTGACAGGCTATTATCAGCTCTGCTCACTTAACAAAACCATTTTAACCTCCAGCCGGTCGATGGCAGAGCTCCAGTTGGCTGATAATGTTGCATACAGTAAGCACAAATCTTAACTATAGCTCGGCTTAGGGCTGCAAAACTGTCAAGAACGAGTTCGCAGTGACAGGAAGGAACAGTAAATGGAGTTTTGGGTTTCACTTTTGAGAAACTGAACATTTGGTTTAAATGTGGAGAAGTTTTAGTTACCAATTACTGGATTCCATTTACGTTAGGATTTTAAACTCAAACTACACTGTGCATTAATTATTATACCAGATTAACTATTAATGCAGCTCAAAGTGATACGGGTGGTACGCCACTGTCGCTGAGGGATTGGAGAAGTGAATGTTTGTAGTTTTCAAGATGAGTGTTTTTCTGGACTGAAACTGAAATGGGATGCAAATAAACCTTAATGTTGTTGGTGCAAGATATTCAAGTGGATATGAGTTACACTGTGTAATAAAAGCAAAGGTAGTTTTTTTATAACTTATTTATTAGTTTTTTTGCTTTTTTTTTTTTGTCTGATGCAGCACTGAGGGATGGATACGGGCATAGACCTGTTGTGATAAACAATAAATTAATTAAACGCATGATAAATGAAAATTATTAACCTCATTTTCATTTATCAGCTTTATCGTTTCTTTGTGTCTCTCTTTCTACTGAAGATACTGCATGATAAAAGGCTTTTCACTGACCCCTCCCTTTCTCTTTAAAATCCATTTTAATCGTCCAAAATCGTGTTTTTGGATCAAATCTTTTTGAACCTCCGTCTTGTCGAAGCTCCAAAATTTACAGTTGAAACCTGTGCATTTTTGTAAAAAAATAAAAAAAATAAATCTCTGCAAAAAGAAGCTGAGAAGTTGTGATTTTTTAAATTTTTATTAAAAGCTTTGTGTGAAAAATGCTATGCTAAAGAGATCAAACCACACCTAGTGTCCACCATTTTGAGAACTGAGAAACAGGAACGTGAGACGGCCCATGTCACGTCAAGGGGCCTCTCTCCCATTTTCTTAAAGAGACACGCTGCTCGCTCCCTCACTATCCATCCTTCAATTCAAACAATCTTATACTGCCATCCAGTGGTCAAAAAAGGTTCTACACGTGAAACAAATTAAACATTTCATCTTAAATTTGACAATAATTACTAATTATTGTCAAAATTCAAACAATATTATCATTTATCGCAATAATTTCTGAGACAATCGCCTGGCAAAATGTGTTATCGTGACAGACCTATACTGGCAAGAGGAGAGAACCATTGTATCCATGACTAGGTGCAATGAAGGAGCCAGGGAGTAAATATACTAATAGTATACAAAAATACTAATAGTATTTTACAAATATACTAATAGTAGTATAGTATCACTTTGACCTGGTCATTTTAAAAGGAGCTTGCATGCTGAAAAGGTGTGGGCACCCCTGGTTTAGAGTTACCAATGAACCCAACATGCATGATGTTGGTCAGCAGGAGGAAAAACACACGCACGGAGAGAACATGCAAAGAGCCTCAGGCGGGAAAAACACAGACAATAAAATGACTCTTTGATCTGAATGCCTGAAGTTAATATAACTCGATTCTGTTAATTAACCTTGAATATTAACTCACATTCTTTTTTTTTTTACTTCCCTAATGCTAACATTTAATTAAAGTGTTTTAGATTATTTTTGTCATGGAGTGCTTTCAGTTTCACAGTTTCAACTTTTTTTGTTCAGATGATTTTTTTTTTTTTTTTTTTTGCGTGGTGATTTGTCATATGGCCATCTGCTGTGACGCAATCACATCTTTGTTTTTCTGTCCATCCATGTAGTTAAAAAAAAAAAAAACGTGCATTTTAAACTAAATTTGCATAAACAGACAAGTCACGATTCTGCCATCTGCAACACTTTGTGATCTGAAAAACCGCAACAGATTGTGAACTGCAACACAGTATTTAAATTTGAGCTGAAGTCTTGGGAATTAAAAAAAAAAAAAACAATCTTGGAACAATTTAAATATTGTCACCATAACTAATGAGAAAATGTGATTATTGATCATTTTTGATCAGTGTTGTCAAGTTATCTCAGTTCAAAACCACAAGTTAGTTTAGTGTTCTCTACATGGCGAAATGTGATTAATTTGGTTCACTTTCCACTGTGGAGTGCTGTAAATGCACCTTTTGTGTTATGAAGATGAGACAGTGTTTATAATAAAAACCTAGTAAATAAACTTAATAAAAATTTGTGGGAATGCATACTGCTTGGCACGTTTCATGACATAGTTTGAAACTAAGATAGTCTGAGTCAGTCTTTGTGTTGGCTAAAGCTGTTTAACTTAGGAGGCCATCATAAATTGGGTTTATTCCAAATAATGAGTTTTAGATTAGGATCAAGGATTATTTTAAACTTCTGCTAAGAGGTTTGTGAGATATTTTGCTGCAGCTAAAGAAAAACGTGACGAACATCGGCATTTTATTCCCATAGAAGGCTGATGTATTATGGTATCATCTGCATGCGTATGTAAACTTTCTCTTGTTCAGATCATAACTACTTTTTTTCATACAACCTTTATTTATACAGGCTAGTCTCATTGAGCCATGAGGACTCATTTACAAGAAAGACCTGTTCCAGACCAAACATATAACGTACAGACAACAATAATAATAAACAATAATAACAATAAACTACAGTAAAAATGCAGTTAACAGTTCCCTTTGGTTTTGTCAACATTTAACACCAGCTTGAGATGGAATAAGTCTGACTGAGTGATGTCAAATGCAGACTGTAGAAGCTGCATTGGCAACTGTGTTAGTTCAGCAATAAACAACAGTGTCATCAGCTTAGAGATTCAAGGATGCATCAGGAATGTTTTGACCTACATTATTTATATAAATTGTAAAAAGAGTGGGACCTAAAACTGAGCCTTGTGGCACACCATTGATGACTGTTAGGTAGCTAGATGAAGTACCATTATGTCGAACACATTGCTGACACACATTACTCATCCGCTCAAGATAATTTAACAAAGCTGATACATGTTTGACCACTAGACGGCATGCTGTGTAACCACCCTGGTTTTAAAGTTAAGGGCACAGGTTTCAAACAAGGTTTTGTACGAACCCAAATAATATGAGCTGAAGTGAGAGAACTCCAAGATGTTGAAAGGTTAACAGTGATTTATTTACAGTGATATACTGCATTTTCCGGTGTATAAGTAACAGTTTTTTGCATAGATTTGCCAGTCCTGCAACTTATACAACGAAGCAACATATATCTGTTTATTTTTCTATATTCATAACACAATTTTTGACTGACACTTTAAATGTTCATTCATACTGACAAGAACCAGAGTAAACATTAACTTTTGCAGCCGCTGGAGGTGCGAGAGGGCCCTCTAGGCTTGTGACAACTAATAGTAGGCGTATGTTGTTCCTGTACCGCTACCTCCTCCACCCTCACACCAAACATTGACCATTAAAGTGCATTCATTAAGGAAACAGTTAAACTGTGACACATCTTTGCTACAATGTCGAGCAAACAAATACTCGTTTTTAAGTGTTAATCTTGTTAAATTTTGAAGAACTGCAACAGCAAGTCCTCCTGTGCGCGCTCCCGTAGCCACCAATCGATTTTTAGCAGCCCATCGATTTTTGGTATGACACCAGCCCATGTTTTTCGGGGGTCAGCGGTGACGCATAATAAACACGACTTATACACTGAAGCGACTTATACACCGGAAAATACAGTATATATGCTGAGTACAAGGTGGACTCTGGAACCCTGGGGAGCAAGGAGGTCAGGTAGGTTCTTCTCACAGGTAGATGATTGTATGTGTTTTCTTTCCTTACAGTTGACGATGCAAGACAGAGACGGTGGTCCAAAGGAGTTCCAGTTTGAAGGGAGATGAGAACGCAAACGTGGCGGGCGAGTGGTAGGAGGCCAAAGAGACAGCTGAAGCAGTCCACAAAGAAACCAGGCTTGGTCAAGGAGGTCAGGATCCAAAAAGCCTCGGGCATGGAGACAGAAACATGAAGAAGACAAGGTAAGTTAACCACTGTTGTTTAACACGCAAAGAGGCCAGAAGCATAAATACCAGTAGGCATCAGAATGCTCCAGCAGAGAGTAGCTCCTCTGCAGTCTTAAGTACTCCTGGCTCCTCATCAGAGTCACAAGTGCACTCGTTAGACGCCATCTTGGAAACTCCGTGGCTGCAGAAGACTGAACTCAGGTTTTTGCTTGTCCAGGCCATAAATTCTGATTTAAGAAAAAATAACAAAATATAGATTGCTTTATGGCTGTATAATAGTTGAAGGGAATATAACGGGCCATATGCAGTACTCTGCTCTCTTTTTTTAAATCTAAAACCATATTTATCAAAACCTAGATGTAAATCTGGGCTTCGTCTGTAGGCACATAGCTTTCCCTTTGAAACCCAGCTCTGCTCTGCATGCAGGTTTTGTTGACTTGCTCACCGTTTGTCGCACATTTTGTTTCTCCGACCTTTACGTTCATATTGTGAGCCCACCTTTCCCAGCTGCGTGGCAAAAATAGCAGGTAAACACCATCATCGATGCAGAGTATGGCGGCGGTATACTTTCCTCTGTATGAACCCTCGTCTCCTGCGGCGCCTTGGGAACGCATCACCACTATTCATTGAGCGTGGCAATTCAGAGCCGTATTTGACATCCTATTTGTAAATGACAAGTAAATATGCAGGCAGGAACCAAACTTGCAGCCTAGAAATATATGGCTACAGGTGCTGAATATATATTTAAATACTCTGTCCTGAAATATAAAGGATTCCATAAAAATATTTCCTTGAAATTCTCATGGCATCATCTTGTCAGACATTTAAATCTACATAAAAGACATTTATCTGTTGGTTTGAAAGCACAAATCAGTACAAATGTTGTCAGCTGTCATATTGCTTGTTAACAGGCAGGCATTGTTTGTTCATGTCTGTTAACAAATTATCTCGGGAACCACTGGATGACATTTACTGAAACTAAAAAGAATCACTAGATGTATGACTACAGCGTATTAATGGTTGGAGTCAGTTCTGTTTACGATGTCTGCTGCAGCTAATCAACCTTAACAACTATATCAATAATTATAACTCAATGTGTTTCACAGATATTCTGCTAAAACCTGGCGTAGTAGTAGCTCAGACTCATTGTGCAACGTGTTATCGAGCGCTATCGAGATCCATTTTTCTTCTGCACATTTTTATGCTATTTCGACAATTCCAAAATCAAAACGTTCGGCTCGTTCAGGACATTCCTGCTGTGACTTTTGGTGTTTGTGCCATTTTAACTTTTTTGAAACATTTAGCTTTGTTTATATTTTATTCATTGAAAATGAATAGAGATAATTTTACATCCTTCAAACTCTTTTAGCTGTTTAAAATCTTTTACTGCTCATTTCAGCTCTTTTCTGCTTCTTCGTGCTAACTTCACCCTCTTGAATTTTGCTCCTATCAGCTATTTAATGCTCTTTTAAGCTTTATTTCGACAAAATTCAGCTTTTTATGACTTTTCAGTTACTTTTTAGACATTTTTCTGTTAATTGTAGCCCCCCTTTTTTGCATATTTGCATCTTTAGTGGTTCTTTCTGCTCATTTTACAATATTAGGCTCCTTTTAGCCTATTTCTGCTCATTTCAGCTTTTTATTTAGCTTTTTCTATACATTTCTTCAGTTCTTCTGCTACTTTCTGTTTTTATTTTCCTGTTTTAGTAAATGCCAGCTGTTCAAATTCAACTCACATTAACAGTTAAGCAATGAAACTTTTCCATTCCTTCAAAGAAAGCAAGTTTTATATACCTGTATATATATATCAATATTTAAAACAAACTCATGTTTTTCCTGAAATTGAAAAACACATTTTCTCCTCTAATTTAAAAATGAGCCTTTTTTACCTGCTGAAACTTTGTCTCCTCGTGGAGATCCCTCAGAGATTGACCTGCTGTGGATTTTTCAACGTTCTGAAGAACCATTCTCAACTTTTTTCCTTCCTGTTATCGTTGCGGGTGCAACCGCTTCACTCTCATATAAACGCACATGCACACACACCTCATGTCAGCCTGATAAGTCATCTCATTAATAGGCGACGATGATGATGTGTCAGTGGAGTCCAACCTTTCATCCGCTGTCTAATAATAGGCTGTGCAATGAGGAGCAAAGAAACTCTGGAGGTAAAAGCAACAGAGTTCACTAAAAATAATCTGTTCTGATTCCACTTAATGAGCCATCAAACTGTCTAAATATCCACACTGTTGTCTTCATTGGCTACAAAGATGCTGTGGCACAAAGAGGGAGTGGACGAGCTGATACCTATGTTTCAACCACTCACCTTCAAAAAGTCAACGGCTAACCATCATGATTTTGCGCCTATGTGTTCGTGTCTGTTCACCAAATATCTCTTCAAATGCTGAAGAGATTATTCCACGAATTTCCTTAATAACAAATCATGAAGTTTCCACCTTTAAGAGTGAATATGGGAGGCTTGAAATAGAAGATCTAGTGAAGGTTTAGCTTTCAACAGGATGAGCTACAGTTAAACTGCAAATCTACAGAGAACTGGCTAAAAAAGAACAGAGTATTATGAAAAAGACAGTGAAATATCCAGATTTGAGTCTCGTTTCTTTGTTGTAAAGATTTTACAATGAAGCAGGACAATGTAAGCTAACCAGATATTTGGAAATAAAAAAATTTAATGGCGTCCACATTTAGAAAACTGTCAAGAATCTCTTTACAACTGAGCAAAACTCCTTTATACAAAGTTATTTAACTTAGTAACACCATATTTAACCCACACATAAAACTGTTTTGATTTCCACTTCAAGAAACTTTATTATCCCCAAAGGACAATTTGTTTCACAGTCAGAAGTCACATAAAACATCCGTACTAGACAAAACATTGAGACATTAAAATGACAGAACAGAAATCATCACTGTTAAGTGAGAAGCCTGAACACTGCAGGGATGAATGAGTTATTCAGTCTGTTCGTTCTACATCTGGGCATCAGATATCTGCGTCCAGATGGAAGCAACCTGAACTCACCATGGAGTGGATGATCAGGATCTGCCAGAATCAGCCTGGCCTTGTTCACTGATCTCACCTTGTGTAGGTCTGTGAGGTTCTGCAGGTCAGTGAGGTTCTGCAGGTCAGTGAGGTTCTGTAGGTCAGTGAGGTTCTGCAGGTCAGTGAGGTTCTGCAGGTCAGTGAGGTTCTGCAGGTCATTGAGGTTCTGTAGGTCAGT